ACTGATGTGCCTCGCCCGGGAAGAGCGCAATGATGGTGCCAACTTTGGCCAGTGAAGCAACGTCCTCCACAACTAGACTGAAGAACAAAACGACAGCAGCTTGTCTGTTCCCCTTCCCCCAATTCCCCAGCACTGTTCCCATCCCTCCAATTCCCCAATAAAAATCTTTAAAAAAAACAAAAAACAATATTGTTATAGGTCTTAAGACTGCATATGTTTGTAGCTTTTTACATTCTTTATGATGGGACTTTTTTCCATTTCATTTGCATAAGCTAATAAGAGGTTTAAATTTTGCCTGTAATGTCATGATATTGGTTTTATTTCTTGTTCACTTAGCATTTTGTTGAATTCTTAGGAAAAAAAACCTCTATAGAGGTTGCAGTGTATGAAATGCATAAATGTACCACAGGTCAAGAAACCACCTAACTTTAGGTAACGTGAGGGGAACTGCTATTCGCGAGACCACTCTGTGCCAAGCCTTGCGTATGTGCCTCACACTTCCCACCCTGTACCCCTCAGATATAGAATAGCAATGCTCCTCTACTCCCCTCCCGACCTGCATGGTGGTGCTTGCTGGAAAGTCCTGTGACTACTTGAGTCGCACATAGTTTATTGAAAAACCATCATTCATCAGGTATTTAATGAGTGCTTCCACGTGCCATGGTATGCCAGGCACGCTCTAGGCATTGGTGAGACATTAGTGAGCAAAACAGACAAATGTTTCCCCTCGTGTGGAATGGATATTCTGTGGGGACAGTGACCAGTGAACGTAAGTCAATTGCCTGGTGTTACTTAGTGTTCAATGTCAGTGATGGATGCGTTTTCCACTTTATTATAGAATCAAGGAGATCTTTTATGCGCTATGGAGAAAACGATATTTATCATCTTAGTATTTAAAGAAAGTTGATAAGTATACAGAGACCACTGTCCAGAAACTACAGATAGATTTTTGGCATATAATTCTTAAAGGTTCCTTAGATACTTCAGGCAGCTCCAATACAGGCATTCTAGTAGAGCTTGGAATGAAACAGGTAGAGACTGAATTTCTTTCTCAAGCGAGCTGCCACATTGTTCCGAGTCTAAGCGTAGCACCCCGGGGGCTCGGCCGTCTCACAGATGCCTCTTCCTCCCCAAAGGTCGCCCTTGAGGCGCTCACAGGAGCGGTGTTTCTCAGAGTTGAGCCTGCACACCAGCTGCGCAGGCTCACCCGGGTGCTCACATGCATTCAGATTCCTGAGGCCCCCACCAGGCCTACCGCATGTAAACTTCTGGGATCGGGTCAGGAGAATCTGCATTTTTACATGGACTTAGGTGACTGCTGTGCGCTTATGTTAGCGAATCACAAAGTACAGCATTATTTTGATGAATAGTTATTTATAGGACTTTGGTTTGGGGCGGGATAGGATTATTCAGTGACCAAGTGCAGAAAACCTCTGAAGTATTTGAGGAGAGCTTACTTCGCAGTTGTGTAATTGCAGTGATAGGAAGCAAATGCCATCACACCCAGTCCAGCAAATCTCGGTGCAGAGAATTCTTAGCTAGACAAATAGGAACTGTTGTGATTCACCCCGCCCTGTGTGTTTGGAATTGTACCAGAAATGTCTTGATGCATAATGTTAACTAATAATACTATAATCAAATAACATTAAAAAGTGGTATAATGTCCAGCATAAATTCAGTTACATATTTTAGCTTCTCTTTTTGTACATACCCCTTCAAAAGTGAGTGCTAAAATGGTCTCATTCAGAAGTTAAAGTGTGAGGTTAGCTGTAATGATGTATTGATTTTTGTTACGAAGCCATTGAAATTCTGTTTATTCCTCAACCTAAGTGTGACAGAGTTTTATGTAAAGATCATGTTTTACCTCTCTCTCTGATGTATAAACTTGCAGTGGCATTTGGCCAATAACATTCTTATTCTGATTCCTTGTTCACAGATTATATTTGCAAATTAGTTTTGGTCAGTGGCTGTACCTCAGAGTTGCTCAAACTTGGCACTGCTGACGTCTGGGACCAGATAATTTTTCCTTTGCAGGGAGAAGGGGTTCCTGTGCCTTGTAGGATGTCTTAACAGCACCGCTGGCCTCTACCCACTAGATACCAGTCGCGCCCTTCTCCTCCGCACAACCAAACATGTCTCCAGACACTGCCCAGTGGCTCCTGAAGGGCAGAATCACCCGCAGTTGAGAACCACGGGCTATAGTTTTTCTCTTTTCATGTCAGACACATAGTGACGCTAAATAGTGCTCTTGAGCTGAAAAGGACTTCGGATTGAGTTCACCTCCTTACTCCTTCCACCCTCCCAGTGTACAGAGGAAGTGACAAGGTAATCAGTGGTGAAATGACTGAGTAATTTCAGACACCACCAGTGAGAGGCAGAAGCAGAACTAGGTGCAGAGCCCAAGGTCACCGTGGTTCACCTGCAAGCCTGCTTCTACCATCAAGTTGTTATTTCAGGGAGAAAACAGGCCTGAGATGGGGCTTCACGTATAACCTCAACTTACGAGCATCTAAAATTACAAAACTTCTGGGGAGGTTATTTATTTTACAAACAGATTTCAGTTTGTAAAGAAATTGTTCCCAGGTTTCTATCCAAACTGTTCTCTAATATGAAAAAAGAAAGAAAAAAATTAAATGCAGACTTGAGTTTCAGCCTCAGCCTTGCTACCTAATCAGTGCTTGCTCCCAAGTTACCAGGTCTTCCTAAGTATGATATCATCTGAAAAATAATGGTAGCACCCTTTCCCCTCACAAACTTGTTTTCAGGTGTAGTTGAAGGTGTGTAAAAGCCAGTTACAAGCTATCCTGCCTGTGCTAATTCTTACTAATATTACCTGTACGTTGGTGCATTGGCAGGTAATTACAATATTTAGCAGTGAGATCAGGGTCAAGAACAGGCAGGAAGCGCACCTTGCACTTGAGGGTCTTGTGTGCCCGGTTCTGTTAGATTCTTTCTCTCAGGTTTTCTCATTTTACAACCTGACCTTCACCCTACAAGATGAACGGCAACCTCAGAAGGGAGGGCACAGTGAGAAGTTAAGAAACTTAAGCAGACCGCACAGATGAGAAGTGGAGAAGTCGGGGCCCTGACCTGGGTCTACAGCGCATGCTTTGCCTCTGGGCGTTTTCGGACCTTACAGCCTCCCGCCTCTAGCGAAACCTGAGTTTGAAGTTTTAGGAGCCAGTGTTAGTGAAATCCTGTCAGAAACGAGGGTTAATGCTCAAGGAGCGAAGGGACTCCAGAGTGGGTGGTGGTCTCCCTCTCACCGTGTAGACACGGACGCTGAGGCGGAGGAATGTCAGCGATGGGGCCCAGGGTGCTGAGCTGGCGATGCCGTGAGTTTCTCTCTGAGCCTGCTGAGAAACACAACATCAAGCTGTAAGACACCACCGCTGCATCGCCTCATCGATGGCATATCTCATTTGTTTGATTTGACTTGTGTATCAGTAAATGTTATGCTGAATTATGTGAGGAATTGCTAGTGGCACATATGCTCCTCGCCAGTCAGTTATTAGTGTTGATGTTTTATCAGTTTTTAGGGAGTTTCAGTTGAAAGCAATGAGGGCTCGTATTTATTTCCCTGCCTCCTGAATTTGGGATGCAAAGCACTAATAGCATAGTTTACTCACATAACCTCCCCCAGATAACTTCCGTGAAGGCAATCTCAGTAGCCATGCAGTGTCACATACAATGTCACACTCTCAGTAACAGCAGCCTTCGGTTAGCACACACTTGACAGAGTTCTGTCCTGAACTAGACGGGCACAAGGTAGGGGATGGGTCTCAGTTCACATGGCTTTTCAGAGGCAGGACTTAATCTCTAGAACCTGAGCTCTTATTTCTGTTAACCTATGCTGTTTGTGTTGCCTCTCATAAAAGGCAGCTTGATCACTTTCCAGTCCCCTCGGCTCTCGCTCCGTATGTTTAAGGCGAAGCTCTGGAGTTGACAGGAAGGCAGAGAGATTTGGGGGTGTTCTTTTGCCACAAATTGGCGTTGTCTTTATTCTTGTGCATTGGTGGGGAGTGATTTGAAACCAAAGATAAATGGTTACTAAAGTGATCAGTAAACTGGAACCCATATATAGATCTAGTTTTCTGATACCCCACTGTGATAAGAAAATACCCTGGAAATGAAGAAAATTCACAAAGGGAGAGCACATGTGAGTAAATACAGGGTTCTTTACATATGCTAATGTAATTGTGTAAATATTTTGTGTATTGCCTATTAACTGAGAACATATTATTTTTTTCTTTCCCCTTCTAGTTGCCTTGAATCTGTAAAATATATAGTATTAACTTGCTATTTGGATTTCTATAATTCATAAAGTCCTAATTATCATTTGCTTGCCTTTGTTACTGTTTCTTTCCCACAAAACAATGCCATGGTTGTGACTGTTGTCTCATTTTAACTAAGGATTTCAGAATAACCTTTGTGACAATTGGAATGATTCTAGGTTATCATAAAAGCAGAAACTTCTAAAAAGTAAAGTTGCTTTTAGATCATATATTGACTGTAGGAATTAAGTAATTTTGCAGATTTGGTTTATGTTTTTAAAATTAAAATACAATGCAGTTCCTTTAAGACTCAGAAAACATTACAGGGAGAGATGGGCCTTTTAAAGAAATATTTTTCCTGGAAATGAAGTTAAATGAGAAGTGACGCTTTATATATGTGTATATATTTTTTAACAAGAGTATCTTCTAAAATAAGTACTTTAGAGATACAATTTTAACTATTCTTTCGGCATTTATTCCTTATTTTGTCATAGCATTTTGTGCGGGCCATAAGTTAGACTATTAAGTACTTATTTTGTATGAGAATGTCATGGTTTTTTTTTTTTTTTTGTATGTGACTATATTCTTTTTAGACTTAAAAGCAAAATATATGAGTTTGTATAAATATATATATACTTTTTCTAAGTAAAAGGCTCATTTATTACCTAGTTTCTCATTTTTAAAAAAAATTTAGAATTATTTATTCTTTTTCTTATCAAGGCATTGCTTCAGAGTTTGGAGTTCGAGGTTATCCAACAATTAAGCTGTAAGTTGAGTGTTGTATGTTTATATGTATATTTTTAATAGTTCACTCTTCTTACGTCTTATTACATTAATTTCTAGTAGCTTCCTTGGAGAATTGAAGATTTGAGTGCAGCAGTTCTTTCTAGGTGCAGTATGTGATTAAAGGGCAGGGACTGCATCTTTTTTTATGCTTTTCTTTGTATTTAGGTAAATGTGTTGTTTACTGCTAATTTACTAAACGTATTTGAGTACTAACTGTGCAGGACAAGGGATAACGGTCTCAAGTTATAAGAGGCCTTTTACCCTTGAGCTCAAGAGTGTATTCTGCTTTGTCACGTGAACCTGTCTCCTAACAGATTGTGCTTTTCTATAATAGACATTGCCTTTGAGATGAAAGAAACCAAGAGAATCAAATTTATGAAAGTTCATTCTAATCTGTAGGTGTCGATCAGGTCTAATATAGAGCGTATAAGTTGGAAGAAATGGTGTGATAATTCTACAGGGCTCATTTTATAATGATTGCACTGAATTTTCTCAGGGGTTTCATCTGTGTCCTTATTTTGGTAATGTGGGGAGTTAAATTATTTTGAAACTTAATTTTATGTGAAGTAAGTTTTTATTTTGGTATTTTAAAATCTCAAGTTTCAAAATTTGAGTAATTTTAAGTTATTTCTTGGGTTTTGTGTTCACCTCTCACCTTCCCCTGCTTTTTAAAAATGTTTGCTAAACTTCTTACTTCCTTGTGTTAAATAAGTTATGCTTTCCAATATTTCTGTTTAATTATAGATGTTCTTTTGTGCTTTTACAGTTTTGTTTTGTTTTCACAATTCATTGGCAGACTTTTGGAAATTACCTAATTTTCCAGAAGTGTTTTTATGCAATTTTACTCTGTAATCATGGCGCCTCTATCAGGTTACTGCAATGTTATATTCAAATTCGTTTTACCTCCACCAAAATGATTTTAATTCCCTGTCCTTGTACTTACCTTTTAAAAGAGAAGAGAGTGCTAGTGGGAATTACAATGCTTTAACAAGCTCTTCACCATGAATATGTAGATTATTCATTATTTAGCAGTCATAGACACAGCTATCAAATACAGAGTAAAATATTATCATGTAATTTGAATAAAATACAGCCTTTTTCTTTATGTTTGGAGTTGCTGGTCTCCTGAAGCCAGTTGTCTATTTTATGTGGTTATGCTACTTCTAAAACACGTACACATTAACTATTTTATATACTGTAATTTTATGTAATGATAGTGGTTAGCATTAAATATTAAAACAGTTGAAATAATCCAAGCTTTTTTCTTTTTTTCTTTTTTCTTTTTAAGATTAAAGGGGGACTTGGCCTATAATTATAGAGGACCACGAACTAAAGATGATATTATTGAGTTTGCTCACAGAGTATCTGGGTAAGTTTTTCCAAGGGAAGGCCTCTACTACATGACATTAATATTTGAAAACTAAATGCGTTTTAGTAGACCATTATTGAACACACATATTTTTAGGGACTTAGTCTAAATAAGATGTGTCTGTTTATTTATGAGAAAAGAGGGTTATGTAGGTTTAAAAACACAAAAGGGTCCGTGATTTTTATTATATACTTATTAACCTCATATTTAAATTCATTCAGTGTATAGAAGAATTTTTCCCCCAATTTTAAAGACATTTTCAAAATTTGAATACTTCTAACCACTTTGTGAGTCTTACTGTTTATTTTAGTATAATTTTGCTTTTGTACTCCCTGGTTTCATCAATTTATTTTTGTTGTTACCTAATTTCAAAGTTTTTCGAGAAACCCCACTATTCTGAATAGATTTGTGCTTTTAATCCCTAGCCTGTGATACTGGAAAATGCTTTTAGATGCAGCTAAAATAGTCCCCTTGATCTGCCTCATGCTGCTTCATGCCAACTCTGAGGTATTATTGCACATTTTGCTTATAATGTGACATAATTAGAACCCAGAGATCTATTTGAATTATAGATCTCTGAAGCTTTACCGATAAGGAGCAGAAATTCTTCCACAAGCATGTCCTGTTGGTTTGAATGGTAATTTTGTTTTTTAACCTGCCTATTGCTCAGGTATAAAGAAAGCTGGTGTTTATCATTATTAAAGTGATTACGTGCAACTTTTTGAAGACAACACTCATCATGATGGGCTAGCCTATATTGACTTTCAAAGTATAAGTACTTTCTTATGAGTGTAACAGTATATATATTCTATTGCTAGCTTTCAGTAGCTTTAAGGTAAATTGAAATACTGGGATGGATTTCTTGGGTGGCATAATACCATCTGGCTTAAATTATTTTTGAGAAAAGGCACAGAATTAGGAATGATCTTACACTTTATATTAAAGTTTACAAAGCTTATTATAACTTGTACTGTATTTTCTCATTGGTTGCATATTTCATTTTCTGTGTTTGTTTTGTGAATAAATAAATTTTGAGATAACTTTATGTGAGGGGATTACTGGTAGGATGTACTTTATTCCTCCACGATTTAGATTAGTCGTACATTTTGGCAGTTTTTAATGAGGTTTGGTATAAGCTTCGAAGGGCTTCTTCTGATGTAATTAGGGTTGACTCTTTTGCAAATGAAATTTCAAGAGTCAATTCTGGAGTTGCATCACTTACCAGTTAATTACTGAAGTAAAAGTAGGCCCTGGAGTAGAGTGACGCAATGCATCTAAAGAGTTATGCATTTTGAAAATACGTTTGCCCCTGTAAAATAAGTTTTGTTCTTTTTGCAAATTTGGTGGAGTAATAATCTCACAGGCCGCATTTAGAAGAAAACTGCCTTTTTTAGTTTTTTAACAATATTTTGTAAATTATATGTTTTGTAATAACCTTTGGTGTTAATTCATTTCTGAGTCTATTTGGCTTTGAAATATGCTTATCTAATAAAACCTTTGTACTGTTTTCTTTTTATCAGTTTCTTAGGTACTGTTATGAAAACCATTTTCCATTTTGTTTTTCCTGAAAGGAATAACATACTTAGGAAACATTTTATAGTTTAATCTCTATAGGGTATTTTAAAACTACATGAATTTAAATGGACAGAGTAAGACATAAATATTCTTAACACAGCATAAACTCCTGGGATAGTATTTCATAGTGTGTTTGTGTGAATGATCTTTTGAAAGGAAGAAAAAATAAATAATTCTCATGTGGATTGTTTTGTTTTTGCTGAGGACTCTAAATAAATGTTTTTGCCTATCAAAATATTGGCTAGAATCATACTCTTTAAAGGGATATTTTTGAAACTTAGCTTTGAAACTGACAGGCTAAATTATAGGTGGCTATGTTTTTATTAAAATGGTGTAGTAGTTGTCATGAGCTACAGTTGTATTAGATTTATATGAATGGGATGATACACTTAAAATGCAGTTAATACAGCATTTAAACTTTATAGCTTTAGACATGATAGGCTTTCATATAAATAAGAGTCAGTTGTGCACTATCCTTAGTTCAAATGCAAGTTTGTGTTGCATTCCCTTTTGGGTTTGGTTTGGTTTGAATTGTGGTGAAATACATATAACACAAGATTCACCACCTTCACCACTTTACGTGAACCGTTCGCAATATTAAGTACATTCACATCGTTAACGTTTTTGTTTCTAAACAGAGCTCTAATTCGGCCACTTCCAAGTCAGCAGATGTTTGAACACGTGCAGAAAAGACATCGTGTGTTTTTCGTTTATGTAGGTGGAGAGTCACCTCTGAAGGTACGAATGATTTTATGTTTTTAATCTGAAAACACAGATGTATTGTAGTTTACTGTTCTGTATAGTCAAAATTTCACTGGAGACTCAAAATACTTCACACTTATTGGAAATACTTCAGTTCAATCTAAATATTTTTACAATAACAACAGTTTATATTGTACCCTCTTTATGAAACCAAAGTGAGTGAAAGTGGGTAGATGGCATCCGCCTTAGCATTTCTTCTATTAGGGACTTGATTGTTTGAATTTATATTGCTTTTTAGTATTTTGAGTCTTTGAGACTGCAGAGTGCATTTGAGTGTAAAATTTTTAAAGGCAAAAGATCATTATCTTAAATTATTCTATATGTGTGTATACATACACATATCTCTTCCTATAATCATCAAGTTCAATTACTAAATATAAATTCATCTTATGTTATATTTAAAGAACTTTTATTTAGAGGAGTATGAGAGTACTTAGTTACAATGCTTTTTCACCGTAAAAACAATTTATTTCATTTGCTTATATCCCATCTTTTCACATTAAAGGACTTACGGTAGAAAATTGTGATGATACTACTTGCTCTGAATGTTTAATAAGGAATGAATTTTGATATTTAAGTCACCTTGCTTTGTTTGTATTTTCACAGGAGAAATACATAGATGCGGCTTCAGAACTAATTGTATATACATACTTCTTTTCTGCCTCAGAAGAAGTGGTTCCTGAGGTAATATTTACAGTTGGATTTTCATCACTTAATTTCGTAACACTGCTTCTTCCCCTCTATTCCGTGCCGTGCGCTGTGTGTGTGAAGTCCCCATCTGTGGCAAGGCGGGTGTCAGGGTCCTGGTAGACGGAGCTTCCATTCTCATGGGGGAGGGCCGACTAAATGTCAGCGTTATAGGTGAGGCCTTCTGTTGGGCCTTCAGACTGAGGTAGTGATCCTCAGTAAACAAATCTACCTACGGGATCGTAACTGCGATGAAAAAAAGATAAATACAGGAGCGCTGTGACAGTAGGGGCCGTTGGGAGGTGGGACGGCTGCTCTAGACTCGTTGATCAGGAAATATGTGTCTGAGAGGATAGTTTGAACTGGGGCTTCCGGGAGATGAAGGAGCCATGCAGAGACTTGTGGCCGGAGTACCCAAGAAACGGAACCCATACCGCCGGGGCCCAAGGTGAGGACACGCCTGGCACGTGGAGGAGCAGAGCCCTGACACCATCGCAGTCCTCATATGACGACGGGATGTCAGATCAAAACCCCTGGGACATACAACATCTGGGTGGGCACTTACAGCGTTGCTACACGGGCACACTTGTTCGTTATTAGGTGTTTTTTTTTTTAATACCTTATTTCCCCATGTATAAGATGCACCCTTTTTCGAAAAATTTGGGGCCTAAAAACTGGGTGCGTCTTGTACAGTGGATGTAGATTTTTTTACTTGCATTTCCTGCTGAGAACGAGGCAATTACATGAAGACAGCGATTCGTCATCAGACACAGATGAGGACAAGCTAATGGTTGGGAGTTTTGACAGTGATGAGGAGTTGTATGAATTTTATGATGAATAAAACTTGAGTTCAGTAACTTTATATAATACTTTTTTTTTTCAAATTTCAGGCCCCAAAATTAAGGTGCGTCTTATACATGGGCACATCTTATACATGGGGAAATACGGTAATAGCCATCTTAACTAGTTTCTTTAACATTCGTTAATTATTCCTACAAATATCAATATTTGTCATTTCTTTTTAGTTCTGAGTATGTGGCTGCAAAAGTCAGCTGCGGAGTAGTAGATATTTCAGAATAATGTGAGGACTTTTCCTCCCGTAGGAGGACAAATAAGGATAAAACCCATGATTTTATATTGTCCCCATATTTTGAATTTTAATGTTTGGTCATGCAAAGCTTTCCAACTAGTATTTATAAGAATTGCAATAAGTGAAACAAGGGAATATGAAGATGGATTAGACGTTTCTGACTAAAGGATGCTTAAAGATGAACGGAGAAGTTTGTCACGTAGGCACATAACTGTGATGGAAGAAAGTAAGTTTAAAGCACCACAAGGAAAGAGGAGGCGGGATTCGGAATTCGGGGAAACAGGTGGCTGCAGGTTCAGCTCTTCAGTAATATGACGGGGTGGCCCACTCAGGGGTTTCCTTGAAGAGAGCGATGCTGAATGCGAAGAAATGCTTGCAAAACACCTTTGGGGTTGCATTCCTAGACGAGGGTGGATACAGGCACACTCGATGATAGAGCCTTGCCGAAGCTTTACCACTGCCCTTAAAATAGCTCTTTGCATGGCACTGTACCATTTTTCAGTAGTAACGTGACCAGATCCTTCTACATTACGTGGCATATGCCTCCTCCCTTTTATAAACAAGGCAGCTGTTTTTATTGTTATTTTATTAGTTATCTACTGAACTGTTTATTTGTTGTTACTTTCAGTATTACCACACTCATGTGATAACTCTGTGGCTTACCCAAATTATATCTCTTCGGCTCTAATACTGATTTCTTTACCATAATTGTACCATTTTGAAATAATTATAACAGGTATAGGAAGCAGCTACCTTCTGACTGAATCCCTTATTATCAAACAGCATTGTAAGTTTCCATTTATAAAGCAATTTACAGTATGTTAGCAGACCTAACTCCTGACTCGCTGGTGAGATGGGGGGACTCAGTGTCCTTGATGTTCAGAGGAGGAAGCTCACGCCCCAAGTAAAGTGATGGACTCATGACATAGCTTTGGAGAGGTGGGGAAGGACTCGAACCCGCCTGCGCTGGTGGGTACCTTACCTGCTGCTCTGCTGCCACCTCAGAGTGCCTCTCATCCTTAATTGCCATGATATCTTTAGGTTTATTATCAACTCTAAGAATATTCCATGGTTTTCTCCATAGAAAACGGCACTGTGACAAGGGGTGTGTAAAGAGAAATCAAACCCAGTCCTTGGATGAACTTGGGACTGACTGTGCTCTTTTTCACTGTTTGTAACAATTTTGTCATTGTTCTATTTGTTTTTTTCTTGCATCCTTTATTACTTTTGAAATCATAGCTATCAATGGAAATTTTTTAAATGATCAGATTATTTACACGTCTGATTTTTGCAGTATGTGACACTGAAAGAGATGCCCGCTGTGCTTGTTTTCAAAGATGAAACTTACTTTGTTTATGATGGTAAGTTCCAAAGTTTTAGCTCATATAAAATGCTTTAAAATTAAAATGCTGTGTCTGTTATAGGACTTAAGCAAGGGTGACACATTTAGTAAATTCAGCTGCTGCTTACAGCTCTCATGAGTTGAATGACTCATCCATTTTTCTTACCCTTCAGCTTGACTTTTTCCATTTAGTGTTCTTTCCTTTTGGGGTTTTTTGTTTGTTTTTTGTTTTGGTCAGGTCATCTTCCTTTTTGAGACGTGAACCCTGTGCAGTTTCTATACGTTACTTTAAAATATGCAAAATTATTTTTTAAAAAGATAAAACATTTCGGACTCACAAAAAATTGAAGAAATAAAACCCCTTGAATCATGGTAGCACCCTAGTATATTCTGCTCTTAGCTCCTCCTTTCCCTGCTGGACAGAAGTAACCATCACCTGCTATTCAGCATTTCTTCATCAAAGCAGATCCTTAGTCTATTTGTAAAATATTTTTCTTACATGCAACATACATCATAGTAAAGAGAATGCTCAAGTAATAAGTCCCTACCCACATACCCACTCACCCAGGTTAGATAGAACATTACCAAGACCTTACCACATTTGTTTCCACAAGTGTTTTTCTTTGTTGAATTATTTTAAAGCAAATCCCGGTGGCATTTCATCATTCTTTGCTTCATTATGCACCTCTTAAAAATGTGGACTTTTTATTTTTTTGGACAACCACATGCTGTTACAACACTTAACAAAATTAACGCTAATTCTCTGGCATTGTCAAATACCTGCTCCCACAATTCCCAGGTGCTATGTGGTCCCCTAGGGTGGTCAGCAAACACACAGTGAAGGACTGCTCTGTGCATTAATCCTTTAGTACATCGGAGGGTTCAGAATAGATTTTACAAATGAAATTTATGAATCTAAGATTATACTCCTGTGTCTGAATTTTATGCATATTGTTAGGATAGAACTTAAACATTTTAATCACATATTTACACCATAACTTATCAACTTTGTTTTTAAGAATACGAAGACGGTGATCTGTCATCTTGGATCAATAGGGAGAGGTTTCAGAATTATCTGACTATGGATGGCTTCCTCCTGTATGAACTTGGAGACACCGGTAACAAACATATACACAATTTTCCATGACTCTATGGAATTTTTCCTTAATTGATTACTTAAATCTGATTCTGTAGGAAATGAGTTTTAAGCTCTATTTTATAATTTCATTTCTTCTTTAGACCTGAATGCTAGTTCTGCTTTATGAGAATATAGATTAATTTTACCAAAGAACATAGCTCTGATGTGAATCAAAGATTAGCTAGAGACGGCTTACTAATAGAAGTGAGAGTGGCAAGAGAACAGAGCCTGGATAATAAGTAAATGAGAAAAACAACAACCAGTAAGCTATACTCAGGAGGCTGATTTTGTAATGAGAGTTGAATAAAACTCGCACAACCGTCCAGCCTGCTTTTACTTGTAGGGAAAATACGGGTATCAAATGGCATGGTTCCTTAAAGCTACAGGGTTGAGATTGACAGGCAGAGCAAATATATATACAGACACAAAACAGAAAGCTGTAAGAAGATAACCACATGGCCTCAAATACATGAAAACTACAGAAATGAAAAGCCAACCATGTAAGTTTCAGGAGGATGTGCTTCGTAAATTTATAGTGAATTACAAATAAGAAATCATGATTACGTTACCACATTTGTTTCTGTTCACAGCTTTATGATAAGTAGGATGAAGTATAGTTTTCGTTTAAAAGAGTGGGGAAACTTCACTCAAGGCTCAGGTTTTTTTATTTGAGAAGTGATGGTCATTAGTTTCCACTTGCTGATTTTCTGCTCTGGAATCTGGTTAGGAATACAAATTAGAAATGTCCTAATGATCCTCCTGTTATTTCCTAGCTCTTTCTTAGGTGATATTTGTTCTGGTTCCTGAGCCTGCTTTTGTAGCATCCTGTGGCTGGTGGTGTTTCTGTCTTTGCCTCTGATCCTCACAGAGGGAGGCAGTATTAGCTCAGCATAGGAGGCTGCCATGAGCGCTGGCAGAGGTGTGGGTTTACTTTGTGATTCTCAGGCCCACGTGAAGGGAAAGGGGAAATGGGGGAATTCAGTCATTTTGCTTTCAGCTGTTGTGATCACAGGACACAGCATGACCCCAAGGTAATTAAAGTTGGCTCTGTCACATAGCGGCTGCTCCCGAGTAATTGGGCAAGAGGCTGGCTGGTGCCGTCAGCCTTCCTGCGCACGTCCAGCAGAAGGGCCCTCGGTAGCTCACGCGCTCGTCTCTTCACCTGAGCACTTACACAAGCCCACAGCCGACTCCTGATTCTCAGTGGCCTCGGACACTTCGTGTCTCCCCAGAAACTGCGCGCTCTGCGCCGTGGGACTGCTGCCTGCGTCTGCGCACCCATTTTCACTCTGGCCTTCTTCCACCCTCCCTCCTCCAACCACACTGATTTTCAGGGTTGTAGAGGCTTTGCATCTTGCACCAAAGCACCTTTATGCACCCTGTTTTCTTTGCCTGGAAATGTGTAGCTAATTTATGTTCATGCGCCAGAGTCAGACCAAATGTTGCTTCCGTAGGAAAGTCTTTCATGGACCCCTCAAGCTGCATGAGTTGACTCTGTAATACTCCTGTGAAACACCGTGTTCCTTTCCCTCAGAACTCGTCCCTTCGTTTACCACGCGTCTGTTTGTGTTACTGTCCTCCCTACTAGACTGCTTTCCACAGTCCAGAGTGGGTCTGTGCACGCTTGTCACCATGTCCCTGGGAACTAGCCCGGGGCTGGGTACGGTGCCTGGTGCTCAGGAATTGTGAAATTAACAAGTGAGAAGCGGACTGCATTGGCCTATGAGAAGACACTCTGTGTACTGTAGGCATTTTGGGGAAAAAAAATCTCAAGAAGCACTTGAGAATTAAAGAAGCACAGAAAAACCAAGCACTGAATAGTAAATCAAATAATATTTCAGAAACAATCATTGTGAGTTAGTATTTTCAGTTGAGGGTTAAAAAAGAGTCAAGATTGTGTGGAATTTAAAGACACGCGAGCGGTATGGAATTAGGAAGAAGCATTTGGATGTGGGGGTAGCTTACTGATTTAATATTGCATTCATGTACCTGCTCTGAGCCACAAACCATCCCAACATTTTTCTCATTCAACTCTCCTGTTAACTCTGAAGTAGATACTAGTTTCCAGATAAGTTGAAGTTCACTGAGGTTAAGTCACACAGCTAACAAATGACGGTGCTTCACCACTGTTCTCCTGGGCCGAGACCCCAGTAGACACTGCTGGATCGCAGTGTCTGGCTGTCTGATCCCGCGCTCTCACGCTGCCTTCCTAGAGGATATCAGAGATGAAAGTAACTTACGTTCTATACAGGGATAAGTAAACCTGAGTCCATTTTATCCTGTGTGTTCCGGCGAGTAGTGACCGTGGTCCTGGAGGGAATGGCAGTGTGAAAGTCCTCTCCTTATATATCATTCCTTCAGAGCTGTAGTACCTCAGAGTGAACTTCTTTTATCAACTTATTTCTTACGGTTTCAGCTTTTGACAGACTGCTTATTTTAATCACTTCATGAGTTATGTGGGAAAATACAATTTGTGTATATGAATTGTTAAACATTGGCTATTATTTACATTTTGAGGACGGGCGGTGTGGAGGAACGTAACCACTTGGGGCTGACTAACTCACCAACTCACTGAGCATAATGTGTAGGGTAATTGGAAACAGTGTTTACTAATTCCCAACTCGCAGCTTCAATAATAGCTGAAAAGTTTGCATAAAGAGGGTTGTTGAACTTAGATATGTCATTCTTAATTTCAGGAAAACTTGTGGCTATTGCTGTTATTGATGAGAAAAACACATCAATCGAACACACCAGGTACAGTGCCTTGAAATTGTTTTAAGCTTCAAATATCACCTAATTCAGACTTGACGTGGCTTCAGATAAACTTAGCATAGTATCTTTTCCTGCAGTATTACATAAGGCGGCAGATGTTATAATTGAGTAACTATATGTTTTTCAAGCGAAAAATGAAGTAGTCCTGTATTTGTTCTTTTACAGATTAAAGTCGGTTATTCAGGAAGTTGCTAGAGATTACAGAGACCAGTTCCACAGGTAGGTGCTTGCGTTCTGGATGATTCCTTTATCTTTAGTTACATTTTGTAAAATCGTAAACCAAAAGTAGCATTTTATACTTTCCAAGATGAATACAGAAATATGAATTGTCTGGACTTGATATTTGTTGATACGTGTCCTACAAGTAAAAAAAAATATATAATTTCTATCATACCTGCTTCTTGATATTTTTGTTGTGTGCTAAATCATTGTTGCTGCCATAAGAGACATTTAATATAATTTTTTGTATTATTTAATATCCCCTTTTTGTTCTGTGTCTTCTAATGATGCATCAGTGTATCTCTCCTGTTACATAGTATGAGCATCTTCTGAGTATTCCTGTTTAGAGTAAGTGGGCAATTTTTCTTAAACGCATTTTTGTTAGAAAAGCTTATGTTGCCCTGCATTTTAAACATATATAAGTGAAATAGAAATGTCTTAAAATTGGTTTAATTTGACTTATTATATTTGTATCTCAAAAGCCAGCAGAGTTCACACTCTTAATTATATGTGACTTATATGTTTACATGCTTACCAGGCTCAGCTCTCCTTTTTGTGTATTTAATATTGCCCTCTCTTTCCCTTTTTTTTTTTTTTTGTTTTTTGTTTTGTTTTGTTGTTGGTTAGGGATTTTCAGTTTGGACATATGGATGGAAATGACTATATAAATACCTTGCTGATGGAGTAAGTAAAGTGCTAAATGATGAAATGATTTTGCTACCAATTCTATCAATTTTTAAATTTCTGTTTCTGAGGTAGAAAGACTAATAGCTGAAAAAGGCAGGGTGTATGTTGATGCAGATATTCTCCCATTAAATATTTTACTTTAATTTTTAAACGTATATTTGAAAAATTGAAACTTTCATATTGTTCTATACTAAAAAAAGTTGTCTCCCAATTTAGTGTTAATAATTTATAGTATTTTGAAAAGAAGACATCATGCAAAAACTTGAAAATGTTGTAGTTGCTGTTTAATATACCCTTAACTTAAGATCACTTTTAATGAACAAATGTAAGTTAAGTAGAAAGTTTTTAGCATTCAAGTATTGCTTGTTATTCTAGAATAATTTATTTTAACAGACTAAAATAACTTTATGGGGAAAATATACAATTTTAAAATAATTTCATCAGTTGTGTTTGTGATGTAAAGATCTGATTTGTCTCTTCAGAAAGTTGAAAGTTGATATTGGAAAACATTTGCTATGCCTATGCTGAACTAATAAATTTCAAATAAGACCCCACTCTGTTTAGTGGACATTTAGTGAGTATTTACTGTATGTCATAGATTGTGTTTGAGACTTTCGATGCAAAAACGGAGTAAATTAGAGCCCGTCTTCAAAAACTTACAGTCGGCTAAGACATCACCATCACAGAACTGTGGAAAGGTCTGTGCAGTAGACGGCTCTGGAAACAGACTTTCACGCCCCACCCCAGCGCACACCAAGGTGGGGGCTCAGAAAATGCTTGCCTGAGGAGGCAGTCCTTAAGAGAGGCTCTGAAGAATGAGAAGTTAGCTGAATAAAGAATTCAGAGAGGTTGTTTCAGGCAGAGCATAAAAGCAAACACAAGTGGTGGGAGCGAAATGGGGCTTAGGAAAGTGCTGGAGCCTTAACATGGCCCCTGGTGCACAGATGGGGAAAGCTCACCAGGACGGACGCTCGTTCAGCGGCATCCATCGAGCGCCCGTAGGTACGTCTGCAGCACTGCGCTGAGTTGGGTCCTTGTTCGCTTTGCTCAGCAGCACAGGTGTAGTAGATGGATGCCTTCGTTCATTGGTGCAATGTATTGACTTAGAGCCTTCCATTGTCCAAGTAAGGACAGTGGGGAAATGAAACCAAACTTAAAACTCAAAGTGACAGGCATAATTTTCAGCTAAAAGCCTGAAGTGATAAAGTAGCGTTACCTTTCTTCATTTATATTCAGTTTTTTATACCTGTTATTCTAATTTGAGAAGGTTTACCAGAGATACAAAGTACCAGATATAAAATATGTAATGAAGAAATCACGACAAAGGAAATCTGTACAATTTGTGAAGGTACTTGAAAAATTTGGCCCTGAATTTTTAATACTCAGAACCAAGTAGAAAAGCATTATTTGAAGAGAGTCTGCAAGAGACCGAAGCAATTTGTGTCCAATAAACAACTGCTTGACCCAGGATAGTATTCAGAATATCTAGAGATAGAGACTCATTCCCTCATGGGTATTATTCCTAATGAGAATTGTGAGAAGTTTTGAGCTACAGTTGTGATCAGAGAACACCAATACTCTCCACCACCAGCCCCTTATAATTTGGAGTGTTTTTGGTTTTTTATTCATACTGTGCTTTTTGGTTTGTTTTATTTTTGAGAGAGGAGAGAAGATATATAGTGATGGTTATATAATAATTGAAAGCCCTCACTGGGTACCTGCCCAGTGACCGATGCTTATTTCTAACTTTTATAGTAACTCAGTGAGGGGTCAGCACTATTACTACCTACATTTTATGTAGACAAGGAAATTCAAATTTCTTAGAAGACACTCAGGGGAGTTAAATTAGACCCCAAAGGACGCCCACCAAGTAAGTTACAGAAACCCAGTCCCCAAATCCAGATCGCTCTTGCTCCAAAAGCTGTGAACGATGGTACATTAATAGTGACAGACAAATTAGTGGAATTTAGTAGGAATTGATTCCTAAAATATTTTTAATGCATGATATTACATAAAAGAAGTACATTGCAGCATTGACTGTATTTTTTACTTTTTCTCAAAATAGGGTGCTATCAGACTTTTGGTCTGTTAAATTATTTTATATTGGGTTTTGTGAGTATAATTAAGAGGGAATAAGGTGAAATGTTATTTTCCATCGTTATTCAAATTGAATTATTTTAAAACAAATAGTTTCCAGTTTAACTGTGTATTTAACTTTTTCATAGAGGTCTTTTCATAGTAAGGCCCCATTCTAATCCATTCCAAAAAATAGGGATTTTTTGCTACTCTTGCATTATGATAACAAAACTGCTTTAAATCAAAAGGCAGTCTCTTATGTTTTTATGAACAAAAATGAAGCCAAGATTTTTTTTTTTTTAATTACACAGTTAACTTTTGCCTAATAATAATACTGGGTAGTAAAGCACCCTGGCACCCAGTGCTTCAAGTAGCAGGTGTTTATTCTGTCACTTGTCTGGGCTTGGCCAACCTTGGTGGGCCACAGCTAGATGTGGCACCAAACTGCCAGTTAGGTTCAGGTCTTCTCCACGTGTCTTTAATGTCCTTGACCCTGGAAGGGCGTTTTCCTGGGAAAATGGCAATCGCAAAACCCAAGACGGCAAGCCCAGCCGTGCAAGCACATTCCTAGCCTCTGCTTCATCGCTTCTGTTGACCAAGTCACATGGCTGCGCCCCGACATAGGGGCAGATGAGCACATGTTGGGGAGGAGAGAGAATTATGAGCAACAAAGCAGCCTACTGGACTAGCACTTACCTGGTGATAATTAACGGCGTGAACTGTTTCCTCTGCAGTTTTTTACATTTGCATAATATTTTCATATACGTAGACATACAAAAAACCATAAACTAATGTGCACATGACATGCAGAATTAAGCGCCATCGTTTTATGATTATGCAAAAACCTGTTTTTGAAAGAAAAAATGTGAATTGTTCCAGTGGAATGAGACATACTGATAATAGTAGTTTTCTGCCTGCAGACTGCATTGCTGTCTGGTATGTCACTCACTACTTCCCGAGGACAGAGTGGGACGTAGAGCCGGACAGTGGGAGTTAGAGAAGTTAGAATGGCCCTCACTGAACATGTTGTGTACGAAGTACTGGGCTGGATGTTGGACTTGGATTTTCTCATGTGATTTTTATAACAAGATAGGTGTACACACACAAACACACACAAACACACACACACACACACACACACACACATTTTATTCATTTACAAATGCAAAATACTAAGCTTAGGAAACTGTGGTAAAGCCCCAGATTTGAAAACAAGCATTGTGACTCCAGAGAACTGCTAGTTACCTGGAGTGCATTTCACTGCGGTGGGTTGTATCTGATTGACAGTGATGGCATTTAAAATAAATGTGTGGCGAGGAATAATATTGCCCAGAAATTGATATTTTATACATATTAATTTTTATCCTTAAGCTTGATCGTGAATACTCGGTTGTCTGATATTGTGTATTAGAATGTTTTTCATATAATCTTAATTTAGCTACTTTTAAATTGATGCACAATTTGAAATTTTCTTCATATAGGCAAAAAGAGGTGACGCTACTAATATACTTCTTTCCTTTTGTGATTATAGTTACTTAGATATAATATAAATACATACCAGAATGTTTATCTCTGTGTTTAATGTGTATTTTGATTTCTTTGTTTTTCTGCTTTCAGTGAATTGAAAGCCCCAACTGTAGTTGTGCTGAACACTTCGAACCAACAGTACTTCTTACTAGACAGACAGGTTGAGAGTGCCGAAGACATGGTCCGGTTCATTAACAGCATTTTGGATGGCACAGTAGAAGTGAGTCGTCCACTTCCATTTTGAAGGGATGATGGGAGGCGATGGAGGGAAAGGACTTTTTGTCTTTTCTTCTGATCCTGGCAGGGAGAGTCAGGGCCGGCCTCCACTCCGCACCTTGCTCCTCTCACATTGTCAGCAGAGCCCCATTCTGTGAGACACAGAAGGTTCTTGCGTGGGAGATGCTGCTCTAAATGTCCCTTAGAGGGTTACTTGGGGGTGTTTTTGTGGTCACAGTGATTGGGAGGTGCTGCTGGCAGCAGAGTCGGGGCGCAGCGCTCCCCCGACTGAGCTTTTCTGGCTCTGAGGACCTTCCTGGACCCCAGGGTGCAGTTGGGTTAAGTTACTCAGGTTGGTTTTCTAAGAAAACCTGTAAGACCGCAGTTTCTTAAGAACTCAGGAAATACATTGAGAATCAGAGCCCCAGTGGAGAGTTCAAAATCCTATAAAATATTTCTCAGAAGTTGGGAACGGTAGTCGTAACTTTTTTTTTTTTTTTTTCGTAAATCTTACTGTAGTTTTTTTCAGACTGGGTTGCAACCCGTATTAGAGAGTCACGGAATCACTTCCATGGGTCGTAGGCAGTGTGCGTCTTAACTCGACAGACTAGAATAAAACAGAAAAGAAAATATGAGTCCTGTGCTTTCATGAAGTTTAATTATTTGTGAGACTTTTGTTTCAGCTTTACACAGACTTTAAGTGAAAGTTGGCTCAGTAACAAGTGTTTCTGCTCTGGAAACAGGAATTTCATATTTGTGAAAATAATACCTGCTGAAATGAAACTTGCCTGTGTGAGTGAGTACTCACCTATTTTAAGTTAGTGAAGCCCAAACTGTTTAACAACTAGGAGGTACCCTAGGTCATATGGCTTAGAAATTCAAGGAATGAGGCTGACTTCAGGGGTGGCTGGATGCCAGCCAGGAACTTGGTCGATTTCCATCAGGAACTTTTCTGCCTCAGCACTTTCTCTAGCTGAGCTTCAGCCTCAGAGAAACTCTCCCAACCCAATAGCCAAGATCCTGCAGCAGGAATCTGAGCTGAACTCATTAGGTGGGCAGGCCTGGCCTGGGGGGGGCGGGGGAGGCCTGCTTCAGAGGACAGCAGGGGGGTGGGGCAGAGGAAACCGGAGATGCCCCCACTTGGCTCGCTCTCTGGTGCTTTTGCTATCTGCACTCAGCCCTCGACCTGCAATTGTAAGATGATGTAACAGAAAAATGAAGTAATAGCAATTTAATTGTCTTTTCCTGTTAAATTGAAGGCTCAAGGAGGTGATAGCATTTTGCAGAGATTGAAAAGAATAGTATTTGATGCCAAATCTACTATTGTGGTAAGTTGTGACAGTTTGTTTTAATGTCATTGATAATTGAGAATATATAGATACATAGGTACTTTATGTCTTAAGGTAAAATCTGGAATTTCAAAGGGTTGGGTAAAAATGCTATCTTTTTAATTTGCAAGGTAAGAACTAGCCTATTTTACATTAAGAAATATTCATCAGGTGGAAATTGTTTCTCTAGTTATTCACTTCTTTATGATTGGTGAGTTACTGGAATTCAGTCACTTGCTAACATGATGTCAAGTGTTTTCAGAGTCTTCACTCGTCCTGCCTTTCTCAGTCTTGCTTTGAGCTCGCAGAAGCCTTTCTTACCACCCCGTCTCCAGCTGTCACCTTGACAGCGGAAGCTTTCCTAGATGTGCCTGAGCCGGAGGCTTAGCTCTCCCTGTCTGTCTGCGGCCTCCCCTGCGAGTTTTCATTCGCTCTGACCAACAGCCGTCATCAAGTCAGACCTAAGCTTCTCCTCTTGGGAAGAAGCGAATTCTCACACCACTCGCCTTATGCCCCGTGTCCCTCAGTTGTCCGTGACCTTCCCTTGTCTTCCTGCTGCCACCAGCATTGGCTGGCCCCGGTTTCCTTGTGCCCTGTGTCCACTCCGTTCTGTCCGCCACCACACAGTTCATGTCACTGACCCAGCGGGTCCTCGTCACCCTTCCCTCTGCGTGCTGCTCGTCGGAAGCCTGTTTTGTGAAGGCGGCGGAAGCTTCGTGCTGGTGCTCTCACCGCCCTGAGAGCTGCCCCGCTCTTACTCTTGTTAAACTTCTGCCCGAAAACAACTTTATTTTGTTCAGCTCTCCTGGTATCTCATTCAAAGTGACCTTGCTCTCCTGTGAACTTGTCTCAAGAGTTAGGGTCACAACCCACAGAAAATATTATAGTTAAAAAACCTATTCAGTAAGATTGCTTTTACTTTTCTAGGAGCTGAGGAGACAGTATATAAATTGAGGGAAATTCAGTTACTGTGGCTTTTCTCCTAACCAGATTAGTAAAAGCTATTTGAAATGTTGTGTGAGAGAAGGTGTATGCACCTTCTCGGGTAAATACCAGCCTTCTCAGTGGCCAGACTCCTCCTGTCCCGGACACAGCCCCAGAGCAGTGGGCACGTCGCCGCCACCTCAGAGACCTTTGTGTCCCTGTGAGAAAAACAATATGTTTAGGAAAGGTTGCAGGGTGTCTTTGGTGCTGCCAGCGGCTGGTTACACACCCGTCCATAACCTCTCTCTCCTGCAGAGACACTGACATCCATTCATTAGGACTCAAAGCAAGTGGGATGCAGCCAGAGGAAGAGATGGTGGTGGTTTGGGATCGGGCCCCCTTTTCCGTGGGCACATTGAGGGGACTGAGCTGTGATCCTGTCTCCACAGTCGATATTCAGGAGCTCCCCGCTGATGGGCTGCTTCCTCTTCGGCCTACCACTGGGTGTCATCAGCATCATGTGCTACGGCATCTACACGGCCGACACGGATGGAGGCTACGTGGAGGAGCGCTACGAAGTGTCCCGAGGCGAGACCGAAGGCCAGGATGCCCCGGAAGCGAGCGGCGAGCAGCAGGAGCCGAGGACTGGAGGCTGTGCCGCGCCTGCCCTGCAGGCGCCCAAGGATGAGTTAGAGAAAAAGACGGACTGAGACGAGCAGAGCAGAACACTTGCTGGGCCTGCAGGTTTCTGGAGTCTGTTTATTGAAATTAGACATTGTATCATGGTCTTTCCAGAGGAGAACATGCTGTTTGCATTTTGCTAGTATCAACTGCACGGATTAAAGCAGTCCTTGCATAAGTGGGGAGATGTTTGGAGCAAACAGGAAACGTTTGTCTAACACACACACATCCCTCAGAGTTCGCCTGGTGGATGTGGTTGTAACAGATTGGTTCTTTGCATGTTTCTCTCTGAGTTCTGTTGCGGAACTAAGATTCTTGGGCAGGGTATTTACATTGGTCAGTCAGGTAGAAGAGCCATGTTTGATAGAGAAAAATAATGCCCCCACCCCCCCACCATCCATTCTCCTCTTATATTTTGGATAAGATTTATATGGACAAAATTAAGTCTTTCAAATTCAGGCACTTTAAAGAGAACTAATAACTTTTTCCGCAGGTCAAATTAGGATTATGAGATTAAAAATAATTTGGTTTTATATAGCATAGTGATTTTATTTTGTTATTATTTTTAAAGGAGAGGAAATGTTGTTACCTTTTAACTTTATACTTAGTTGCATTATAAAATTTTCATATTAGCCTATAGAGTGTCAAAAAAAATAGTCTGTGTTTAATCTTTGCCACATGAACTGGATTTACTTGGAGCAGTGACTCCGAACCAGGCCCGGGAACGCCCTGAGCAGGTGTCTCAGCAGCCACTGAGGGAAGGGCCGCTGTCGCTCCTACCCGGTTGTACCCCAAACAGCTCACTTTCTTTCTCTCTTTATCTGTATTGGGACTTCTTCTAAAAATTTCCTTTGGTAAGAAGCTCTTGCTGCTTTTTAAAGAGTAATAGCAGATCGTGTGTTTATGGTATGGTAACTTATCTAGTACATGTTTATACATGTAAAATGTATTGACATGTGTCTGTTACATAATTTATGGGCATGTCTGTGTTCCTGATGAGTAATGAGTGACGTAATCAGCCTGTCAACAAAATTCATGTCCGGCGATTAAAGAGGGTGCCAGTGACCTTCCCCGTCCTCGCAGTCCTGGCGGCCAGATCAGCCAGCGGCCCATCATCCTCTCGCTCTAGTGAAAGAACGTAGGCATTCTGTCCTGAGTAATGTAGAAACAGTGGTATTTTTTTAAAGTAACAGTTTGATATGTTTGTTGTAGATTATTTTTGAGGCCTTTGTTTTAGCTAAGTTTAGGATTTTTATTAAGTGACTATTATTTTGGGTGATTATTCATGGAGTGATTGAGTTATTCAGTGTAAAGGACATTATTAAACATTTAAAAATGTTTATAATCACTTTAGAACTGTAATTCATGGCCCTACATAAAACTGTAATTTACACATAAAACTGTGTAATTCTTGATACGGAAGTTGTTCAGGGTTTGGATCGCCAAGGGCAGCCTTGGGTCATTTCTGATGCCATGCTGATCACAACCAAACTGAAACTCTATCTTAAGAACTAAGGAGTTAGTGATAATTGCTTTATTGTATCCATGTACTTTATTAGTATATAATAATTACTTATTCTTGATATTTGCACCTCATTATTATTTTTAATAATGAAGCACATACACAGTCACAGGGAATGGAAGGAAATACTAGAATGGAATATTCTTACATGGAAATTGGAGGTGAGTGCTGTTCGTTTAACAAGTGGCTTCCCCTCCGCACAGGAATGAAGGCTTCTTTGGGAGATTACTGTTAATGCTCCCAGCGGTGAAGCCGTGAAAAGCTGAGGCGAGTACGGATGGCTTACCTGAGCCGCAGCCTCGTAGGGAAGTTGACGCTTGGGCATTCCCAGGGCCAGGAGCAGGCAGAACGTGTCATTGCGCCTGTCTTCATGTTTGTCACTCTCAGCTGTCCGTCATCGGCATGTTTTTTACCTTTTCTCAAGTATCATCTATAAAGGGAAGTATCACCTCAATAGGGAAAAGTAAAAAAAAAGTAAAAGCTCAAGTATGTATCAGCAAACAAAAGTCCAGCAGTCTCGGGGGATGTTTTTTTGTCTCTAAATCAATGCCTTAGCCTCTGTTACCTTTTTCACAACTCTGTACTGTTGCCCCGTATTCCATTTATGTTTCAAAGTGTATCTCTGTTGGGAAAACACAATATGTAGATAGATGGTTTATAAGTGAATGATTTGATTTCTTCCTTTTTGTATTAAAATTTCCCTTTTTACTTACTCTAGGATAGTGTCAGACTCTTCACACAACAGATTTAAAATGTTTTGCTCATTGTGTGTTTTTCCCTTCAGTGTGATATCAGAGCTTACTAGGAATGCTGTTTTCCAGAAAAAAAATAATTCAAAGTGAAGGTAGATTTCTGAACGAATCTCGGGGAAGAACAGATAACACCCTAATTCAGTGATAAATCTTACTCTGATTACGTATCAATAGAGGGAATATCCTTCAATCTGTTAAGAGTTTTTTGCCTTCGCCTTTAGTTGCAATAAAGTTCAATTTCTAAATCTAAAATCCAGAATCCCAGATGTGTGCTGCTGAAGCCGGTGTGCAGACAAGATTCAAAGGTGTTTCAGAAGGAGAAAGTGCGCGTTCGCAAGCCCTGTGCAGCCCGTTGTAGCTTGCAGTCGCTTTTCTCTGTGTACATGGACATTTCTCTAGCCACTGCCTCCTGAAACTTCTCCGAGGGGGATTAGACCTGGAACTTGCGTTTTCTTCTTCACACATAGTGCTTCCTGGCGCCTGATTTAGAAGGAACATTACAAGCCAAATATCTAGAGGTTGAAGTAAAAGGTCTGTGTGAGTGGTTAACCCATCAGCTATGTTGTTTTTGTTGAGTGGATTTTGGTCGTTGTTTCTTGTGTTTTGTTTCAGGGCTTTTTTTGGTTTGGGTTTTACAAAAAGTAATTTAAATGTTTTCGTCATTGCTTCAATATGACAGGGAGGTTGGGCAGGGAAAAATCACTCAGCTATTATTATGCAGAAATGGTTCAAATAAAGCATTGTGGGATGTTAAGGCTATCAATTAATTGGTGGGGTTAGGTTTGCCATTTTATTTTTATAAATATCTATTTTTTCTGATTGTGTCTGAGTCCAAGAGTGGGCAAACAATAATTTTCTACTTTGGACTAATCTATAAAGGTTTTTTGAAAGTCTGTATTAGTAGTTGAATCCTGATATCCTGCCTTAAGGCACCAGTTGTAAACCTTTGTTTTTTCTAAAATAAATTAATTGAAAACATGTAATCGTTTGTTTTTTTACAATTTATCTTTTGGGTTTTTGCGACGTGACTAATTCTCCGCAAGCAAAGAGGACAGCTAAGACTGACCGTCCACAAGTTGTTTTTCCCTTTTATTAAATTGTTCATAATTATAGAAACAGAATCTTAAGAGTTTAAACAGACTTGAGACATGCATTTTAATCTCATCCCCTTATAGTACATATAAAGAACCTAAGATTTATAGGTTTGATATGTTTTATATTTGTAAAACGTGATCGTTTGTAAAAATCAGTTACAGAGTTTAAAGTTAGAACAATTGGATTTGAGTCCTTAAGCAACTGCTGCATTGTGATCTTGGACACAACACAGCCACTCCTTATTAAAGTGTCCCAGAGGAAAATGGAACTCGAAAACCTCAAGGTTTTTCTTTTTAAAAATGGCATCAAGTGGGTAACATTTATTTCTCTAATTTTTTTTTCTCACTTCATTTAGAATTTATATCATTGTTTACCACAGAGAAAAGCCAAGGCATTATGAATGTAAAATCCTAATATGTTTAAAATTTGCTTGGCCTCTTTCTATAATTTAGGCCCTAACATTTTGGATAGAAGCGAAAAGGTTATTTCTTTAACATTGAAATTACACTTACAAATATTTAGGTTCATTAACATCTCTGAAAATCGTTTGCATTTTGTGCTTTTAGTAAAAATGAATAAGCTTAAGGGGATGGAGGTATCCAGTAGGATTATTAGTGTGTGTGAATAGTTTAAATAGATAATAAATGTGATTTAGACACAGATTTAGAATATTAGTGGATAGTGAATAGATATAGGAAAATTATTTGATTTTCTTGTGTGCCTTCCTGATAATATTCATAAGCCTTCCACTTTTCTTTAAACCCATCTCGTATAAACTGAAAGGTCCTATAAACAACTAGTGGCAAAGCGGCAGTTATTTTCCTGCTATTTATTTTTACAACAAATGTACGTTAAATGTCCTCTGTGTACTATGGAGAGGACAGCCCTAAAAGGCAGTTGTAGCCCCAGTCCTTGTGGACTTTAGAGCTACTGTAACTGATAGTTTTTACTGAAAGTAATGGCAAGTCTTCCACTTTTCTGTTTTTCATCGTTTCCCTTATAGAATTCGTTGTTCGACATAAAATTGTTGCTGTTAGGTATTTGGGATCTTTGGGACTCAGGGTAAGAGGCCAGGACGGACAATAGAGAAGAACACCTCCGCTTTCTTCCAATATGGAGGGGTCGGATTTTCTCAGCGTGTCTGCACCTGCACCAGTAGTGTGGGTGGATAACGGAAACAACGCCGTTCAAGGTAAGAGAATCTCCAGAGATACAACAGGCTGTCCCGGGAGGGTCCGAGGTTCCCACGTTGGAAATGGTTAAAGTATTAAGTTTCCTGCAGAGGCCAAGATTCTGTGAGGCCTTGAATGTCAGCACTAATGCCACCCCCTGTGCCCATGTGTACGACAGTCCCCTGTCCAACAGAAAAAGCCAAAAACAAAACTTTGGCTAGCTTTGGTATACTAAATTTTAGTTGGGTGGATGAAGCAGTTAAGTGAAATTGAAAAATACAGAGTAGAAACGGGATATTTTTCTTCTTTCAAATTTTTCACATAAATCTCAACGTCGCTGTCTTCCTCGGCTATGGTTACTTGTGGATTTATGTAACAATGGTTCTCTTCCATCAAAGTTGTTTAATATACTGTAGTTTCTGAACGTATGTTTGATGCTATCACTAAAATTCTATTAATATACCAAATCATAAGAACCCAGTTAAAAATACAGTAAATGATTAGATTATCAGGGCTTACAACAGTGACATTTAATATTTTGAGGTTATACACACAAAAATAATCTGTGTGAAGTTCCTGTATCCTTTTTACAATCACGTACCTAACGACGGATCCATTCTGACAAATGTGTCGTTAGGCGATTTTGTCACTGCAGACATGAGAGGGTGCACTTCCACAAACCTAGCCGGGTCTAGCCTGCTGCTGTGATTGTACGGGCTGTACTTTCATAGGCCTGCTAGTGCAGCGTTTGCACCAGTGTCACCATAAACATGTGAGCAGATGTCGTATGAGCCCTGACTGTTAATTTTCATAACACAAGTGCCTGACTTAAGCTTTGATTGCTGAGGGATACACTTCAAAGACGTATCCATTGCAAAAAGGCATCCACTTCGAGGAAGACTATCTCAAATAAACACAGTGCCAGTCACAATAAGACAGGCTGGTTAGTGTAACAATTAGGCAGTGAGGAATTGCCCAGTAGGATGAGCAGGAGATAAACACATTTCCAAGGCCTCTGCCCTCAGCCCTGACCCCAAAAGCCACAGCCTTGAGACAATGTATTCTTACCAGACGGGAATGTCAATTACACCCTGAGGCATCTAAAACTATCCTGAAAGGCCGCCTCCAGGCTGAAACGGCCAATGAAATAAATCTAACCCGTTCAAGCAGGCGCCAGTTTTCTCCCCAGACAGGCTAGGAGAAACATATAAACAGAGGCCTCCCGGTAGTTAGCGGGTACTCCAGTTTCGGATGCTCCCTCTCTTTTAGAGAGCTGTACCTGTTTAATTAACTGCTCTTTTCTGCAAACTTTGCCTCTCTGGTCCGTGTCTCCATTCTTCGGTGCTGCGCGACCATGAATCACAGCCACACACAGATCGAGCTGCATCAACAAGACTAGGCAAGGAGCTAGGCCTCCTCCCCGCACTGAGGGCCCTTCATTCTGCAGAGCTTGGTTGACTTCAGTAACTGACCATTTGGGCCGCATGTGGCTTTAGCTGCCTGTGCTTTAAATTCCTGCTCTTACGTTCTAAATTCACCAATAAAAAGTGACCCGTGAAACCCTAAGCCCCCACCCTGGATCCCAGTGAAATCAGGGCCCAGGCCCACCCAAGCTCTCCACCCGTGACCTCGCTGCGTGCCCGCTGGCGTGCCTTGTGTGTTCTGAGCCCTGTAAGTAATACACTTTTTCTTCCAAGCTTCCTAACAGTTGTCCCTGAAGGGCGTCTGGGAGCCGCGATAAGAGCGATAAGGTAGGTTCAGCTGTAATGTCGGAGAGTGGGCCCTTCTTGGCGCAAAGTCTGGGTCCTTTGACAACTCAAGCAAAGAATTGAATGAGATGCTGGAGTAAAGTACTGAAAAAGTAGTTTATTCTAAGAGACAGTACATTTCAAAGAAGTAGAAGTGGGCCTGAGTAGTAGAGAATGACTCAAGGGCCCATTGTTAGAAGAGAAATTACATTCTAAAGAGTTTGGAGCAGGCCACGCACAAAAGCGGGGCTCAAAAGGCTCAAAAAGGAAGAAGTGGTCAAATGAGCAGGGTGTCCAAAAAAGGAAAAGGGCGGACGTCCCAGGACGTGGAGTTTTTATCCATTTTCACTAGAATGGGCTGTGCCCGTAAGGGCGTGGGACCACTTGATTGGCACCTGTGATTGACAAGAGGTGCTGCGCAGGTGCGAGCGACTGGTCAGATCTAGTTGGGTATTTTGCATCCATTTGTTTCAGGGGTAGATAGTTACAATGAAAAGAAGTTTTGGGTGTAGAGGGAGGTCACCGGGCAGTCACATCCTGTGGGACGTGCAGGAATGCAGAGACCCAATGCCTGCCTCTAACTGCCAGCCTTGTTTTCCCCTTGAGAGACGTGATCCCCATAAAATCTCTATGGGAAGCTGAGGGACAGGAGGCCTCTTCTTCAGTATCTGCTTCCTGCTGGGCAGGGGCGTAGAGCTGTCCCTGCCTAGTGGGGGATTCACGGAACTCTCTCGTTCTAGCTGATCTTAGATGAGAGGAAGGGGTCTCGAGCTCCCCCTTGGAAGACCGTATTGGCTTCCTTGGTTGTGACTGGCAATCTTGTTGGGGTATCCTCTGTATCCCCAAGGTCCCTGAATGAGGAAAAACAGGTTTTAATTAATAAATCTGTTAGCTCTCATGAAGCCTGTGGCCATTCAGCCTGTCACTCAGGTGGCGTCAATTGTCTGGGCCCAGAATGGGTTTGATTTAACTTACTGGCCTGGGGGACATTAGGAAATCACAGGCTTTCAAGTAGTTATCTGAAGCAGGGGTAGGAGACTTCTATTGTTTAGGATTCAGAAACTGATTTACAGAGCAATCAAGAAGCAGGGGGATAGGAGAATTCTAGGATTCAGGCTAGGAGCAATCTTTGGGATTCACAGACAGATGAGAAGAGTAATCAAAGCCAAGAGCTAAGGAACTAAGGAACTAGGGAGGAGACTTACCATTTCTATACTTACCATTTCTATAGGGAAGAGCACTTAAAAGTCTTCGGGAGGGGCACTCTCTTGGCCATAACAGTAACCCTGGTTTGAAAAGGGGAAATGCGTCAAGCCCAGTCCCTCCATACTTGTGTCACCTGATCATTCACAGCTTTATTAACCATTCTGTATAAATTAGACCTAGCCTCCCTAACCTCGTTACTCTGCTGCTTTATTATTTATAAGCGCTTTTTTGTAACATATATTGTTTACTGTCTGCTTCCCCCTTCAAATACACACTAAATGTAAGCTCTGAATGGTCAGATACTTTTTTGTCAAGGCTGTGTTCCCAGTTCTTAGAACATCCTTGGCATGAATGAAGCACGCATTCAATAAATGTTGGTAGAATAAATGAATGAATGAGTAATTGAATATATTTATACAATGACGTATTTCTTACTGTGTTAAGAGTTGGAGATGACTGATTTTTAAAAAATAAAAAACATCCATTTTAATTAAAGACTTTAAATGCATGCTCTAAAAGTCTCTAAATGCTCAATGGTTAAGCAATAAGAAAGATAAGTAACATAAAAGAGTCATAAACTTTGAAAATACGTTGTTTTAATATGGAATATTTTTATCTTATTTAGCTTAGCGTCTAAAAATCTTAAACTCTATGCAATCATTGAAAATAAGAGTAGAGGTATAGCACCGTGGAAACTTTTAGGTAAACGAATATCCTCCAACCCTCAAATACTGTGGAAACATAAATTACAAGCTCT